GATCCAAGAAAAATAGGAAGAATATTGGATTTTTTTAGTCTGAAGTCTTTCTTTGGCCCCTCAACAACATATGAAGAAAAAAAACAGAAATGATTTTGATCAAATTAGCGTGCAATAAGTCAGAAATCTATGTTGGTGTGGTCTTCTACTGGCTGTTATCAGGTATATCTGAATGTGTACAACAGGGGTTTGAGCAAAGCTTTTACCACTGAATGATGCAGAAAGTCTCACATCCAAAAGAAACCGGATCAGATATGACACATTTGATCAAAATAATTTCTGTTTTTTTTCTTCATATGTTGTTGAGGGGCCAAAGAAAGACTTCAAACTAAAAAAATCCAATATTCTTCCTATTTTTCATGGATCAGGCTTTAAAGGGTTAAAAAACAACAGTAGATTCACTTAAAAACGACAAGAGTTGATGGCAGTTTTCAAACACTTTATTAAAGAGTGGATAACACACAGATGAAAACACACTTTCCAAAAACATCAAACACAATCCTAAACAGTACATATGAAATTTAACATTCCCTTTAGCAAAGTGTTCCCCATCTTAGCTATCAGTTTTCTCATCTAAATCTATAATTACAATCAATTAATGTACGTTTATGGTAGATGTAATTAGTGATTATTTAGATTAGTTCAAGATAGAAGATGTATACATTCTCTTTAAACTTCAGTCTAACATAAAGCAGGAATAGAGGATAAATACAAATATTTTTTCAAAATAAATGTTAGTCTCTGCTGGAATCCTGAATTTTACAATTATTTAATGAGAGGTTACAAACGCTTTATTTTTTCCCTGTAATCAGACTTCCAGACCTTTTACAACTCACTATTCCTTCCATATTTAGCATTTACTTTAATAAATCTCCATCCAGATTTAGTCGGGTTTGGGTTCATTCTGGAGAAACAGCGAAACCTTCTGGTGTTTTTCACATTAGAAAATCAGCTATTCGTCTTTAGGAAATTCACTAAAACATTTGTTATCCCAAAAGAAATCTCCTGATTCTATTCTGTGACATCAATAGGAATTCCTGAATATTTTTATGAAAAAACAAAGAAACAAAGAGCAAAGACGTAAAATAAAGGAGGTTTCTGGAGCTCGTTCCCTCCACAGAACAGGAATTTTTATCTATTTTCCACAGTACGCGGTAAAAAAAGAAGCAGAAATAAATCAAATATATAGCTAGAACTAGGTTCTCAAAGTGTCAAAGCTAAACAAACAGCATTTATTAATCTAAACTGGGTTTAAACCTGGATTAAAGTTTGGTTTATCTAAGCCAGTTAGTTAACCATCTACCTAAAAATCCAGAAGCATTTTTGGCATTTTTAAT